TAGAAAATATAATGAAAATTCGTATGTGTATCGTATTTTTAAACTTTATGAATTACCTTAATATCAATTATCTTAGCTTTGCTTTATTCATACATAAAAGTATGTGCCTAAATTTCTTAGACCGTTCTATTCTCTTATTTTCATTTATCTATAATGTCGGAAATTTTTTCGGTAAAGGAGTATCTCTGTATAAACAATGTGCATTTGTACTACTCATTAGGCAACACGATTCATTATATTTCACAAGGAAATTACTTAAGGAGTGGATGTATTCTATCTAATAATAAACATTTTCTTAAGGACAAACGAAAGTCACCCTACTTTACAAACTTTAAGATGGGTTCACCGATTGTAGAAAAAAACTATAATAGTTGTTTATGCTGCCTATTTTCACCATATTGTCCGAGTAATTGTAATATATTAATTCTAATTTATCTTGGGACACAGGGTTAGAATCGAAATCCAGAATTCTGTCATTAGACTTTTTTAAATAATTATTTTCTGCTGCTATACTATATCGACTCTTAGCTGAGGGCTTTGGATATATCAAGGTAGCTGTTCCTTAATCTCTAAGTATGCTTACCTTAGCCTAATATTTGATCAGTTATGCGTGCACAGTTATATTTGTCTACTTCATATTGCTTTCTAAATAGGCTACTGCTTCTCCGGCTTGGCTTCTGACAAACTCTCCCAGCGGCGCCCAAACATCCTTATCAACAGTGACTGGCTCTTTGACATTGCCTGCCGGCGCTGCGGCCACATCTTTGATGCTACAACCTGGTCTCTCAGCTAGCCTTACTGGTGCATTAACAGCTCATGGATCACCGAGCCCCTCCGGCTTGACATCTAACAGTAGCGGTGCTACAAGTGTTCTCGGTCATTGTGGCGGAAACTGTATCGGTGCTTCAAGCGGGGGCACTGGTGGTGTGCTTCGTCTTGCAGATGTGGTCGAGGCATTGCGTATAGTACAGCAACAGACCTCAGCCTCGGCTTGCCAAATGACGAGCCCTGCAACTACACCCGTTACGTCTTCCGCAATGGCTAGTCAAACTTCGATTAATTCAAGTATCTCCGGAACGACTAACTTACTTAGCTCTCCTGGTGTCGTGACCGGACAAAGTGCGGCTGGTCCAGGTACACTGGTCTCTGTCGGAGTTGGCTCGACTACCGCCGGCCTCAGCAACATACCAACATTATCTTCAACTGGGCAGCAACAACATCAACAACTTGGATCATCGAGTTCGAGCTCTTCTCCCAATACCGTTCAGGTATTTGGTTCAGGGCCACATTTGCCCGCGAATCTAGTTAGCCTAGTGGCTAACCTTGCTGCATCGGGCAACCCAGTCGCTCTAGCAGCTGCTGCGGCCCTAATGTCTAACAGCAGTAGCAACAGTAGCATAACTGGTGGCCTTGGTAACAATGCATCTCCTGTCCATAGTTCATCCTCTTCTCTGCAGTCAGGTGGACATAGTCAGGTGGCCGCTGTGAGCACGGCTACTTTGCCTGCTAGTCTGCTAGGCCATTTAGCCTCAAAATTTCCATTAATTGCCACATCGGTAAGTGGAAACGGCACCTCTTTCCTCACTAGTCCCATAAATTCGACAACTGCCACCGGCTCCAGCAATGGTATAGGAAGTGTCAGTGGTAATAGCACTGCTGCCACTATCACTTTCACTACGGCTAACAATGGCGGCAACAGTAACGCATCAAGCGGCCATCCAGGAGAACTGCTGACCCCACCGACTTCCTCTTCATCCGCAACCGGTCTCAACGGTCTGGCGTTGGCTAGTGCCCAAGGACTTATGTTCGCCAACTCCCGGACCTCACAGGTGACTGGACAACCGCGTGTTACCTCTCAGTCACATTCACTTGCCTCCACTGGATCCGTCAGCTCAAGTATGCCATCTACTTCTTTTTCGATGCGGCTTAATTCTACTGATTGCCGTTTGGATGAGAGTGCTTCATCCTTATCCACAACTGCGATTGCTAGCATTAAAGGCTGCATTCAGACAGTACCAGGCTCGTCAGCCTTGAATGAGCCCTCGAGTGATGCAAGCACCACCGTAAACTCAAATACTGATTCAGCCACAGCTGCCGCTGCTACAGTCGCTCTCGCATCGAGCATTGAGCAAGCGCTCGATATGACGGTAGGTTTGTGTCAGTTAGTCGCAAAACGAGCATATCAAATAATCAGTATGTAATGCCATCCTACTGACAGTTATGATTTGTATTCTGTAATCCTCATAAACGATAAGTGGAAATTGATGGTTGTTTAAAATTATAAATATTCCTGGCTCGAGCTTAGATCGTTGGAATCTTATTCCTCCTTTCAAT